TTGCTATTGCATCGTCTACATTATTCTTTGTCAGCTTTATTGTCAACATCTGCTTTCAAAAGAAGTTCATTTATAGGTTTCTTCGTTTAAAGTTCCTTTTGTTGGATTTATACAGACAGTATTGTTCTTATTTTTTGAAATAGAAACTCATCTGTCATTGGGTTTATTGTCAGTTTTAAGTCACCCCTTTCAATGACTCAGATATCTTAGAATAGTTTGAAAAGTTTGTTGTGTTCTTATTTAGAGCTTGCATAATGAGTTGTCGGTTGTGTTGTATTTCTCTCATAGACGCTGTTTCATTTGACATTTTTATTCTAGATAAAATATGCTTTCAATAGAAAAAGAAAATTCTAGAGTTGCTACAACTAAACCATTAGATGAACTTTTTACTAATGTCGGTCAAAAGTTGAGACAGATACCGTAAAGCATGAAGGCTATCGTTTTGACTACCATTAAGATGGTTAAGAGACCCATCCGTCACAAAAGCTATTGGCTTTCGTAGAATGAAGTTCATTTCAGAAGCCATACATGGTTTCCCATTTACGGTCGGTTTTGAAGTTCGATACTATAACAAAGAAAAACGTATGTATGAGAAATTTGAACAGGGGAAAACTTTTACAAGTTAGTTTGCTTATAAACTTAGAAACAACTCTTCAAGCTTTTCAAGAAAAAATAAACGATATCTAATTGAATATGCAAACCAGTTTAACATTGACGAAGGAGAATACCATCTCGATATTATTTATGACAGGAAAAATGCAACTGTTAAAATCAATAAAATAGAAGACCTTGGAGAAAACGTTTATATTTCTACAAAATATAACAAACTTGGCATGGTATAGATTTATGAGGATGTTAAATCAGCCTGCAGCATATCCAGTACACCCGGACTATTATGAAGTCGAAAACCCTAATGGAACATATGAAAATATTTCGACCCAGATGCTATTATTGTTCATGCTTCATTTTCTGGCGCCCAAAACTCTTTTATGCTTGGCAAATGACTTTTACGAAAAACCTACAAAGTTATACGAACCGCCGAGTGGAAGTATTTCAGACTTTCAAGTATGGTTTACTACAGATGGAAGAAAAAGAATAATTCCATTATACCATGCGTTTTACTTAGAACTTAGTTTCATATACAACTACTATCGAACGGTAAAAATATAATTTTTTAATACGGTTGAGGTGTTGGATTTGGTTGCCAACTAGACTGTGGTGCAGGTTCAGGCTGTTGTATTACAGGAGCTTGTTCTTTCTGGTTCAGGGTCTTTAGGTATAATACCAACAAACTACCTACTCTTTTACCAATATTTTTGACTCCGTTCCATACTCCTCTTCCGACAGATTTTATTCCATTCCATATACCTCTTCCAACTCTTCTGAAGAAGTTTCCAATACTACTGAAGAAACCATTTTACTATATGTAAAAATCTAATGTCCGCCTAGTCTTTTGCGTTTCCTGTTGAGTTCCATAGCATTCTTTAACTGGAGCTCATACATTCTGTTTCTCCTCTGGTAGAAAACATATTCTGGGTCAACTCCTGTGTTCGCGTCATCTGCATAAAGTTGTTTATATCCCACTTCAGGGTTTGTATAAAACTCTTTCCATCTCATATTTGCATACCATGGTGGCAAACCTAACGCAGCGTCATTTGACATGGCAGTTTGCATTTGTACATCTGTTGGCACTTGACCATAGTTTGCCATTGCAGTTTGTATTCTAACTTCATTTGGAATATTCTCTGGGTTTGGTTGTCCAGGTTGCTGTGCATTCGCTAAGTTCTGTGCGTCCATTTAATATTAGATAAAAATATCTCTTACGAGTACATATACTGAACATTTGCAGGCATTGGTTCATCTTCATATTCTCTGTACTTTTCTGCCACGTCAAATAAATAAATGACACAATGGAAAAAACCTAAAACAAGTAGTCCTATTTCAAACCACATTTACTTACTAATAAAATTTCTTTATTGTGACACTTTCTCCGGTTTATAGGACCTCTCTCATATTCTATCTTGTCATATATAAACTCATAGTCATGTATGTCCTCTAACCATCTCATAACGGTTTCCAAACCACTTTTATCGGATGTAAAGTAAAAGCATGGATGGTTATGTATAACGTCTAAAGTTTCTAAAGAGTCTCTCAAAGTCCAGTCTTCTTGGTATTGAAAATCCCATGTGTTATAGAACGGCGGTCCACTATAAAGAAAACATTTTCCTTGTCTTTATATTTTTCATACAACTCTGTCCAATGACATCTCACAAACTCTATACCCTCAATATATTTTTCTATGTCCTCTTTGAAAACATTTGTATAGTTAAGATATAAAACTTTTGACATAAGTGTTTCAATGTCATGAACTCTTATAGCACCACTATATAATAGTCTAGCAGATATACTATCCCAGTCTATATATTCTGCTTTTTTCAAAACCTCTCTCACAATATTTTTCTTATCTAATGGTATACGTTCCATCTTACCTATAGGTATCTTTTCTTTTAACTCTTTCAATATATTGTTTGTGTCTGGAATATGTTTGAGACGGTCCATATAGTTGTCGAAGTCATTGCATATAATCTTTGAGTCTGGGAATATTGTATGGCACAAATGGGATATATAGAAACTTCCACCGAACAAATCTACAAATGTTAGACCATTCGGTAGTTTCTTAAGTTCTCTCAATATAATATCTTTACATCTACTCTTATTTCCAAAGAACGGTAACGGCGGTTTTGTAAAATTCATTTATATATAATAATAAAAATGTTTTTACCCGAAAAGTGACAGAAAAGTGACAAAACATGAAAACATATATAATTTGTGAAAAGTGAAACAAAAAGTGATATTTAAAAAGTGACACCATTAATATGATGTAAATAACAACGGTTTTGGTTTTGTCACCGGCTGGTCGGCTGGGGTTCGGTCCTCCTCTTGGGTCTTGGGCAAAATTTCTTATGGGCTAGAGGGCGCAACGCGCCTGGAAGCCCCACCTACCTGACCTCATCGTTTTATGAAATTCTTTTTATATTAACGAATGTCCACTTAGCATTGCAATTAAACAAAATTCACCTGAAATTATCAAATTATTAATAGAACATGGTGCAGATGTCAATATTAAACTTATCAACTTTTCTTTAATATCAATCATTGTTTTATAGAATTCTCTTTCTTTTAATATCAATCATCGTTTTATAGAATTCTCTTTCTTTTAATATCAATCATCGTTTTATAGAATTCTCTTTCTTTTAATATCAATCATCGTTTTATAGAATTCTCTTTCTTTTAATATCAATCATCGTTTTATGAAATTCTTTTTATATTAACGAATGTCCACTTAGCATTGCAATTAAACAAAATTCACCTGAAATTATCAAATTATTAATTGAGCACGGCGCTTCAAAAGAATTTTACCTTAGCACTTTCTAACATCCATATTTTATAAAATAAATTTTTGCGATAAAATTATTTCCAAATAGTAAATAAATTGCTATTATACTTCTTCCTATTAAAATAAAGATATATTGATTTTGTAAGACCATACCAGAAAGTGGTGTTCCTTAAAAAATTTAAGGATGCCCTCACCATGTCAGATTTTTTGTACATGTAAAACTTTTGATATACTTAAATTTAGAATCTGGTATTCTGCCATATATATTAATTTTTATAAGCTACTAACTCTAATAATATTTCTGAATAATAATTGTTTTTCACGATAAGCAGATTTGATTTATGGCCAAAATCGCACATAATCAAAATATTAATCCGTCACAATTTTTTAAATTCCAATGATATTCTACCATATTGATTATAAGGATACAAAATTAACATTCATGAAGTTATTAGATTAGGAAAATTGAATGAACTCCATTCAATTTTTTTGATTTTACTTTCAATTTTATAAAGGATATAACTCAAGAACATGTAACATCAGGAATTGTTCAAATATTTGAGTAGAGTCATTCCTTTTTGGATAAAAGCTTGACGGAACGATATTTTAAAAAAGATCTAATATGAAGAAATTAAAAAATCTAATTTTATCAAAATAACGGTTTATTCAACAGTATGCAAACCACAAAAAATTTGCATGCGAGAGAAAATTCTGGCATCAATGCTAGTAAACAATAACTATTATTCCGACCTCTGGATTTTTTTGAAAAAACGCGACAGACTTACCATCATGTTTTTTTGCATATTTGAAATGTGTATATAGTATATAATATGAGTTTCATCCTGGTTTTTTTTTCGATGAGTTTTTAAAATTTGATCAATCAAATATATTAATTTTTCACCAATGAAATACAATATTTTATAATTTAACATGAATTCATTGGTATCAACTCGATTATTTTAGAAATATAAGTATGATTGCATATTGATCTAACAATTCATGGAAAAATCTCTGGATTTTTGGTACACAGCTTTACGATATTGTACCTAAACTAGGTCGAACAACATAGTTAACAAAAGACATTAATGTGTCCCATATCTTGCTTTGTTTGGAAATTGTAAACGGCAATCCAAAAAAAGTGCTGTGCATTCTAGTGTAAGTAGAGAAAATTTCATAATTATTGTGAAATAATAATATTTACTTGCAACTCAAGTTTATTTTAGTAGAAATAAGGGGAAATATTATTCTATTTTTCAATTTTTCCACTTTTGAATACTCTTCAGAATTTCTTTGAAAATTTAAACTCATTCAACTCGACATAGAAAGCGATCTAGAGCCCCAAAGTTTTACTACAATAATAATCATATATTTCAAGTATTTTTATGGAATGTAAGGGCATCCTTAAGTTCAATAATTGATATTCATCCTATTTATAATAAAATTTATTTGAAATCAATATTGTTCAAAGAACTGGATAACAATGAATTCACTTTGAAACATAAAAAGCATGGATAAAAAATGTCTATTATTATTAAACAAATACCGTAGTTTTAATATCATAATAAATAATATTACATACAAACAAATAAAATATAAATTAAGATTAATGAGATGGCTTTGAAAGTGGGATTCTTGTTATCCGCATTGCGCCATCAAATGTGGAGAACTCTTTTCTTGGAGTTTTTCTCGAGTAATCTCTCCAGAATGGTTTTACAATTGCTCTGTTACTCACTGACTTTCTTGTACCAATTCTTTGTCTATTATTAGATATTCTTCTGTTTCTTTCTTTCCTTTCTAAAATGTATTTAAGTAGATCATCTTTTGCATTATTCTGAACAAAACTCATTGTTGCTCGTGGTGTAATTACAGAAGGATTATTCTTCATTGACTTTTCAATTTCTTCCTTCCTCTTCACAAGCAATTCTCTGATTTCTTTTGCAACTGGAGAAGCATCAGGAGGAGGCTCTTTCTCAATCAAACTCATCCAGAACGGAATATATTGCTTGCTTGTTAAGTTCTGTATTATCAATGGTGATTGACTGTAATCAGGCAAATAAGGATTATCAGTTTCATTTTGTTCAATTACATCTTGTTTTTGTATTGAACTCATATACAAATTCCTTCTTCTCGGTCTTACAATTGCAGCAGAATTTTGTTGACCTATTGGAGGTGGTTCTACATTAACAACATTTAATTGTTGTTGTTTTTCTAAATAATTAGAATTAACAACATTTAATTGTTGTTGTTTTTCTAAATAATTAGAATTAACAACATTTAATTGTTGTTTTTCTAAATAATTAGAATTAACAACATTTAATTGTTGTTGTTTTTCTAAATAATTAGAATTAACAACATTTAATTGTTGTTGTTTTTCGGATGAACCAGTATTAACAAAGTTAATATAGTCTGGATCAGCAGTGTTTTGTTGCTGAGGAATTGGAGGTGGTTTGGGTAAGAAATTCGTGATATCAGGAGGAGTTTGATCTGTTGGAGAATTCGTGAGTTTTTCGTCGATTACGGAATATTCATTCCTTTGATGTTGAGGAACAATCAAAGGTGGAGGACGAGGAATTTCATGCAAGTTATGGTTGATTTCCTCATTACTTTGCCGATTTCCGTAATAAATCACATTAAAAGGTAGTTTTTCTTGTTGACTTTCTGAATCAGTTTCATCGGAGAAAATTGATTCATTAGGAGGTGGATTTCTTGCAGAAAAAGGAGGTTGTGGATACAAAGGAGATACTTCATATCCTCCAATCATATCCTGATAAACATAGTCGTTTATGTCGATATCAAAATCATGATTTGCAAAAGAAAGAGTTTTTCTTTCACTCGACAATTTTCGACTTGAACTTGGTGGAGTCAAAGAACCAGGAACTGGCAAAAGAGTTGAATTCCTTCTTGTCAATTTCCTTGGACTTTGTCCTCTTGGTTCCGACGGAGGACTGACAGAGTTTCCACTGTAAAACAGTTTAGTGTTCATCAGTTCGTTTTCGTCAATTTCTCCGTCATTTAACAGCTTCTCTATTAGAGGTCTGAGGTCTTCCCAGCCTTTGCCGTACTCAGCAAGAACAGCGGATGGATCAATGACAATATTAGGGGGAGGCATTGTGAAGACCCTCTGATTTTTGTTGTTCTTGTTGTAATCGTATTTCGGATTGAACAACCTTTGCGAAATCAGTTGGTTTCCCCATCTGATGGGAGGAGGTGTCGGTGCCCTGCTGCGCAGATAATCAGGCTGTTGGGAGACACCTAATAAATGGGCCATTTGAGGGTCTATCTCCTTCATCCCCTTTTTTATTTTTGGCTGGTTATGAATGAAATTGTTGTTTGAAGGAAGACGAGCGGATAAAGGTGGTGGTTTGAGAATTGACCGGTCTGAGTTAGTTCTGTATGAGATCCTTCTTGGCCTGATTATCTTGTTTTTGTTTAATTCGGCTCTTCTTAGTTCTTTTGCCGAATTTGATAAATTTTCATCATTTATTTCATCAATTTCAGTCTCTTCGTCGGCTTCTTCTTCATTGAAATATGTTTCTTCGTTGTTTTCATTGTTTTCTTGGTTATTTTCCTCAAAATTATTTTGGATTTCATTTGTAAGAGGAGAAGTTTGAGAAGATTGGTCTGTTGACGTTTCATTTTGATCTTCTTCACCATGCATTAACTGAGGATCATCATTATTTGAAAATTGAACTGAATTTGTTTCAATTTTATTTGAATCAGCTTCATTTTGGACAGAATTAACTTCATTCTCTTCTTCATTTTTACTTCTGATATTTTCTCGACCGCCAATTGCTGTTTTAGGAGGAATTCTTGGAATATTATTTGTTCTTCCATGATTTTTAGTGGTTGGAGAAGAATTTCCTACATTATTTATCTTAGAATGATTCGATTTCGATGAAACAGACGAGGTTTCAGTTGAGTTAACCTTCTTTTGTAAAGGTTTTGAATTTTTCGATTTAATTTGCTTAGAAGAAGGTGGATTTGACTCCAATTTCTGTTTAGCAGACGGAATTGATGTTTGTGGACGAGTATTTTCTTGTTTCTTGGGTAAAACTTCTTTAGATTTTGTTGGTGATTGAATTTTATTTCTGTTTCTTGGAGACACGGGCAATTCATTGATATCTTCTTTTGGAGCAACTGGTTTTTGCTTTTTGGATGGTGCTCTCTCTTTCGGTTCTTCTTGAATTGTTTTTACCAATTTAATTTCAATTTTTACTTCTCTTTTTGGTGGAGGTTTATAGTCTTTGAACTCATCTTCACTATCCTCATTCTTTGTGTACAAGTCATTGATGTCTAAATCAGATTCTGCTGAAGATTCTTCTGGTTTTTCTTCTTCGACCTTTTCTTGTGTCTTTTTTGCTTTTCTCCTTTTTCTTCTTTCTTTTTTAGACTCGAGTTCTTCAACTTGGGCCAAGCTTTTGTTAATCAAATCTTGTGGACTGATTTCTGGTCTTTTTCTCTTCTTTGGCTTCTTCTGCTCCTTTTGAGGTTGTTGATCTTGTTGTTCTTGAGTTTGTTCTTGCTCTTTTTGCTCTTCTTTTTGTTGATCTTCTTTAATTTCGTTTTGATTCTCTTCTTTCTTTTCTTTTTGTTGAACAATTGGCTGTTTTACTGGATTTTCATTAGTCATTGCAGTCATTTCTTCAATTAAACGACGTTTTTCGTCATCATCTGGGTCATCATTTGAATTATTATTGTTAGAATCGCCATTTTGTTCTGATGACTTGTTTCCTGTGATTTCTGTTGTTTCTTTTTGATAACTCTTCAGTCTTTCCATTGATAATTTGTTCTCTTTTTCTAATCTGAGTTCAATTAGCTTCAATAAGTCTGGTTTTGAGTCTTTTTTAGAAATTCCCTTTAGAATATCATCCTGTTGTTCATCGTCGTCCTCTTCTTCAGGTCTAATTGAACTAACAGAAGATAATAAATCTAAAATCTTGTCAAAGTTATCAATTTCAGGTATTTCAGTATCCACATCATCACAAAATATCTCTGATCCATAAATTATCATTATTTCGTTATCTGTTGCCAATAATAAATCTCTTTTTCCATTTAAAAATTCCAATGAATAAATCGGAAGTGGTAATTCGATTCTTACAACTCCCATATAGTTGTAATCGAATATCTGTACGGTTCTATCCATTGATGAAGTCGCCCAATAAGATTCTCCAAAAGTGAATCCAGTGATCGCATCCATATGAGGACGAGGCATTGTATCTCCTCTAATGAATAGCTCTCTGTTTTTGATGTAGATTCTGCCTAAATGGCCTGTTTTGTATCCGAAATATATTTGGTCGTTGTAAAAAGCATGGATATTCGAGGATTGGAACTTCACACTTGATACAACTTGTGATCTGTTCAAGTCAAAGAGTACAGTTTCGTTCTGGTAAATGATTATCGCTAAATCAGATTCAGCATGATAATAAAAACCAACAATTATCTCTTTAGAAACTCTGAATCGCTTCAGTGATTTCAATGTGTCATAGTCATATATGTAAAAATCGGATTCTTTGCTGACAAAAGCGTAATTCCACTTTCCTTCGAATTTTACAAAGGTCATAATGTTACATTTAACGCTCATTGTGAATATTTCTTCTGCTGGTTGAACACTAGTATCAAAACTGACGACATCTCCGTTATCAAGTATGGTAAATAGCTGATCGTGAGCTACATCATCACGAATCTGGCATATCTCGTATTCCGTTTTGTTTTTTGACTGGTTAAACTTAGTAGAAATGTGAATTCCTCGGTCATATAATACTCCTATTGGCGGACTTGATGATTTCTGGGTTGCAGCTGTAATCAATGAACTATTCTGAGTTGCGTAAAGCTTAACAAACGAGTTATTTGTAAATACAACCACTCTTGCCGCATCATTATACCTCGGACTTCTCAAAATTTGTTGGCATTCACGTAAATTAAGAAGCCAGGCAGACCAAGGTATTTCAACGCGTAGTAAATTAAAGGAAAGATCTTGACAATATGCAATTTTGAGACCAGATAAGGTTCGAAAAACGAAAACCCGAGATGGAAGCTTGTCCATATTATAGCATGGGAAAAATCGTTCGGTGTATATATTAAGTAGATAGAAAATACCTCTTGAATCCATGTAAATAACGTTTTGTTCATCTAAATATTGAAGCATCAATAAATTAGGTATTGTAGATCCGATTCTTTTCTTTAAATTTCCACGAGTACCCCATATACATAGACCATTTTCTGAATCGCATGTCATATAATTTTTTCGATATTTATATTCGCCTGTAAGCTTTTTCTTTTTTGATCTTTCACACCACATTGCAGAAACACATGTTCTAATAGCTGTTGTAGGGTCAGCACTGTTCGAGCTGATAGAAAGAGTAGGATATAAACTTACAGCATTTTTCTGATTTCCATCTAAATCAAATGGACGTAATCCAGATGTTGTAGGGATTAAAATGTATTCACTTTCATAATCAAACGTTGGAGGATTTAAGATTTGAACTTGATAATCGGAAGCAAATGAAGAACGTAAAGAAATTGAGAGTGTAGGTGGTATTGATGTCTTTCTGTTATTCCAGCGATCTGAAGTTAATGTCCAAACCTTTACTCCATTACCTACTGTTAAAATTGCATGAGATTTTGGTGAATATATCATGTGAAATACGCTTATATGCTTTGAATCAATGCCTGATAGTAATAAATTTGTGCTTTCTGTATTATTGGTCTGAAACGCGATAAATTGGTTAGTATTCATTGTTAATCCAACAATGACATCTAGTTCTGGTATAAAAACGGTGGTTAAGCATTTGAATGGATATCTCGATTTTATCTCGCGTCCTTTGAAAATAACGATTTCTTTCTGAGTTGTAGCGACAAAGCTATCGCCACCTATCGAATATACTGAGTTTGTCCGTACCCGACCAACACTTGGAGTTGGTTCATCGAAAATACCAAACTGGATTTTCGAATGATCCATTCTCCAAAATATGAATAGAAATAAATTAAAATCAAGGACATACAAATTATTTAGTTGCGATTGAATAAATTAAAATATACAAATAAAGATTAAAAGGCGTAAGTTTTCAATTTTGATTAGTTTACAATTTTTTTTAATTGCATCCGCTGAACAAACAATCTTCACTCTAGAATGCGCAGAATGCAAAAAATAGTCAATATGATATATATGTTTTGGAATATCTTAATGCATTTTCGTTGTATCTCAATAAAAAATAAATTTAATTAATTGAATATTTTTCTTTATTTGGATGCTCAGATAATGAGTTTATCCACCCTTTAAGTCTGTGCAACTGTATAACCATTATGTAATAATAACTTAATCAACTTTAGTCGGATATAGCTGAAAGTTATATAAATGCAGGAAGAAATATTACTTAGTAATGTGGAGGAACAATTGAAATAGTACGTTTCAGAAAAGTCAAAGCAAGGAATGAATTTATTATACAAAGTATATCCACAAATAAGGGGTCGAGATTTTACAAAAGAAGATAAAAATTTGATTCTAGAAGATGCCGAATCACAATTAGAAAAACATAAATCGTTATCGAAGAAAATGTGCATGATTTATAAATTACTCGGTTCTAATCATTTCAATAAATTTAGTAGTAACGATCCACTTGAAAACTTACTTTATGAAAAATTTAAAGATGATCCAGAAAAAATATTGGAGGAAAAAATCAAGTGTGATAAAAAAGATTATTATTTATGAAAATAGATTAAAAGAAGTTTCCGATGTTTCGTTCGAATAATATATGATGTTTTTCAATATATTAGAAATAAGAGTTATAAAATTCTCCTATTTGTGTTAAATGGGTTGTGTAACGTTCAAACAAAGCAAATTTATATAATTTTTCTGATTCAATATCTGAGCATCCAAAGAAAGAATATCTGAACACATTCGGATTATTTTCAATTTCTCTAATTATTTGTTTTGTTCTATTTACGATGGCTTCTTGTTCCATATTACTTATACCATGGCAAGGAGCGAATTCAGTAAGCCAAATCAGTAAATTATACATTGAATAAATTTCGTTGATTATCCAATTATGATCACTGTAAATATCACCATAATAGTGAACCCCTATGAAATCAGGTTCTCTTAAATTATTATTAGTTTATTTCGATCAAACTAATGATATAAACAAATGCTTTGTTTATTCACCAATTTTTAATATACCATCCCTTACGGAATATTTTCTTTCTTTTGGTGCGAATATCAATGAAGAAAATCAAGATGGAAACAACGCACTTCATATTGCTGCGTTAAAGAATAGTAAAGAAACTGCCGAAGTTCTTATTTCATATGGTGCAAATGTCAATGAAGAAAATGAAGATGGAAACAACGCACTTCATATTGCTGCGTTAAAGAATAGTAAAGAAACTGCCGAAGTTCTTATTTCACATGGTGCAAATGTCAATGAAATAAATGAAGATGGCGATACGACACTTCATATTGCAGCATTAGGTAGGCGTGAAGGAATAGTTGAATTGCTTATTTCACATGGTGCAAATATCAATGAACAAAATAAATATGGAAATACAGCACTTCATATTGCAGCATTTAATAATAGTAAAGAAACTGTCGAAGTTCTTATTTCACATGGTGCAAATATCAATGAAAAAAATCGTAATGGAAAGACTGCACTTCATATTGCAGCATTTAATAATAGTATGGAAGCCGTCAAAGCACTTATTTCACATGGTGCAAATATGAAACTATATGAAAAGCAGACTTTTTTTTTCGTACACCCTCTCAATTTTTTTCCCAGTTTTCGTACTCATATGGTATTATTAGTGTATAATAATCTTAGAGCTTTCGCTATACTGCAGCATTAAAATATAGCTGTATTGTGATTATCTCCTTGAATTTGAGAGGATTCTAAGTTTAATGTCAAGATAATCTCAATTGAATTTAGCATGGAAGCAATATATTTACTATCGTCTGATTGCTCATGATAGATCTATGCTTGTTTTACAAAAATTTACGAAATATAATCAAAATACCGTATCACAGGAAGTTGAATAATAATAACTTTTAAAAAATTGTGTTTTTATATGGTTACAATTGGTAGACTTTATAATTATGAGTAGAAGCTCTATGTTTGCTCAGAAATATGAAATATAATCAAGATTGAAGGATGAATATAATTGTATGAGTGTAAATAAGTTGATAAAAGCATTTGTTGCATACTATATCTCTATGTTCTTGCAATTACGTACTCAAATCTGGATAATCTCTCACTTTTGTTCCGCAATGTGACATTGGGAACAAAGTTTCCGATCTGAGTACATATTTGCAGGGTCTTACAATGGCATCCTGCAATTACGTACTCAAATCGGGAGAATCTCTCACTTTTGTTCCGCAATGTGACATTAGACATTTGATTACCGAAAGGAGTTTACATTTGCAATATACTGTCATATCATATTGCAATTATAAACCCCTTTCGAAGAAAGCTAATTTTTTTCATATCTCAATGTTGCATTAGAAATTAGATTATCGAAAGGAGGTTACGAGTACAATGTTATACCATATAATATTGCAATCGTAAACTCCTTTCTAAAATATCTTCTTTTCAATATAATTTAATTTTCTCATTCTTCTTTAAACTAGTAAATTTTATTCACAATTTATTCTAAATCATAAATATTCATGTTTAGTAGAAACGTTTTTTTAACTCAAATCGTTTTTTCTTATCAAATTTTACATTTTTTCTTTTTATTTTCAGTTTTTTGAATTTTTTTAGGGATTTTTTATTCAATTTCAATGTAATTTAATTCTCTTACATATGTATTATAATTTTATTCATCTTTAAATTTTTAATTTTTGAATAGATACGATAATTATTCATTCAATTTTTAAATGAATGTTTTGATGGGACGAGCTTACTGATAATAGACTCATCCCATCAAAACATTCCCTTGAAAACTCTTGCCTTCATCGAGGCCAGAGCAAACAATTGATCTCCTCAGAGCCAAGTTCCTCGACGGTCTTCCTCATTAGGTTCGATCCGAGAGGAACTTAGCTCTGAATGAAATTCACAAGCTCTGGTCTCAGGAAATGCCAGAGCTTCGCAAACAATCCTTGGGGCTGGTTTCCTCAAAGACCGCCCTGATTCGGGGCGGCCGGAGAGGAATCCAGTCCCAAGAGAGTGCCCATACGAAGCTCTGGCCTTAGTAGTGGCCAGATCCTGCAAATACAATCCTCAGGCCCGAATTTGAGAGAGATCGTCAACATCATTGACGATCTCCCTCAAATTCGGGCCTGAAAGAAAGAAATACACAGATTCTGGCCTCAGAAAAGGTCAGAGCTTCGCTTACAGTCCCCAGGGCCGGCTTTCCCAAATGCCGCTCTGACCCCGGGCGGCAGGCAAGGAATCTGGCCCTGGGATACTTACCAAACGAAGCTCTGGCCACAATAAAGGCCAGAGCCTGCAAGATCAATCCTCAGGGCCGATTTTGAGGGAGATCGTCCACATTATTGGCGATCTCCTCTCATATCGGTCCTGAAGGACTTCAAAATACAGGCCCTGGCCTCAGCAGAGACCAGTGCTTCGCTTACAGTCCTCAGAGCCGAGTTCCCTGAGATTGTCCAGATCACGGACACTTCTCAGCGGAACTCGGCTCTGAGAAGCAACAAATACTAAGCTCTGGCCTCAGCAAAGGTTCAGGGCCTCACTTACAGTCCTCAGGGCCGGATTTCCCAAATGCCGTCCTGATCTAGGGCGACAGGAGAGGAATCCGACCCTGGGAAACAGCAAACCCGAATTTCTGACCTCAACATGTGTCAGAGCCTGCAATACTAATCCTCAGGGCCGAGTTTGAGGGAGATCGCCCACATCATTGACAACATCCTCTTATCTCGGCCCTGAAGGACATACAGATACAGGCTCTGACCCTTGTTGAGGTCATAGCATCTCTATAAAGGGCAGTTTTTCTATGTTCTTTCATTTTCTGAAAGATCATAGTGAAAAGGCTCTCTGATGCTTTATTGTTTAAAAATAGTACATGCTTGAGATTATAATTTTGCAGCAAAATTATTGATTGCATGCGAAAATTTGATCTCAATATTTCAAACATGCAAATTTAGGGTTTACCCGTTACAAATAAAATATTTGCTTAACAGAACTCTATTTATAATGAATAAACACTCTTTTTTATATAATAAAATATTTATTTCATTATCTATAATAATTGAATAAATTTATAACATTAATTGTACTTACAATAACAAGTACATATCATTCTCATATATGCTTATCTTCAAAACTCTATTTTAAAAAAGATGCCTAATTGCATATGCAATAAAAATCAAGTTTTATAGATTAACACATTGAAATTGTACTTTGCACAAAACATTATGCTTGTGCTTGTAAAATCTTTTAAACAATTGTGAATAATCAAATATGATATTTGATGTGATATATGTCTAGACCAGAGATTGAAATATGAACAGGAGAAAGACAAGTTCTGATCATAGGCAAACATTGGACATCAAATACTATGCTCTGTAAAAAAGTACGAAAACTGGAAAAAAATTGAGAGGGGGTACAAAAAAAGTCTGCTTTTCGTATCGACTCTGCAAATATCAATGAAAAAAATGGTTATGGAAAGACTGCACTTTTTTAGCAAAATGGTGTGGTTGTGAAAAAATAGCCGAATTCCTTATTTCGCATGGTGCAAAAGAATAGTATTCTTATTTAAGATACTATTCATTATTTTTCTTGTATTTTCGAAGATGAATTTTGTTAGGAATAAAAAAAATAATAAAGCTCTTCTCACTGATTCTATACACCAAGCACTTAAAGATATGAGCTCTCAATTTTCGACCCCCAATATACGTTTATTTTAGTTTCGGCATATTAACATGAAGCACGAGCCAAACCCTTAAAGACGTGTCCTCTAGTTTTGCCAACTCTTTCATATATTGTAACTATTTTCAGGAAAAAACGCAAATTCAAAATTAGAAATTCACATTTAATCGAGTATAGTATTAAATTACTATCTTTCGTACACGGACCAAGCAACAACTCAAGGTGCATGCTCATTACAGACAAAATCCCCTCTAGTGCACTTAAATTGGGTGAGTTAGCACCAAACAAGCCATAAGTTAAAGATCTGAACTTGCTCCAGACAATGTATCACTTTAGTTATGAATGCACCAGAAATCCGTCCCAAACTCATACATTTCTACGCTAATCACGATAATAAATATACTATTTTGTACTTTTTACAATAAATCTCTCTTTGTTACACTACAAAATCAATGTGCATTTCGTTGCACCAGTTTTGAATCTTGTTAAATAATGATTTTTGTTACTTTCATGATACAGTCCCATTTATAGATCCAAGGTGATGTGATTTTTGCATCCCTGGGATGGACGATACACCCAAAGTGTCACCTTTTTTGGGATAACATGAATTTTAAATATCATGAGAGTTCTGCAAACCATATGCACAATATCTATTCAGCCTGACTTCTTGTATATATGAGTTAGACTTCTTAAATATTGTGCTTGGGGCGATATAAGCATTTCCGAGATTACCATCGTGCTCTATAGTATGCTACTTCTCCCTGGTTCTAGCTCAGTTCCAAGGATATTGGCGTTCAAGGATTTGGCAAGGTCCTTCCGAAGTCTCTCATTCGATGAGAGATTTCGGAAGAATCTTGCCTTAAAGTACTCCAACTCTTGTTCTTTTGTTCCTAAATAGTGAGAAAAGTTATTTGACTACTTAAGGTAGAGATTATCCGAGGTCCCTCATTTGATGAGAGGCCTCGGATAATCTCTGCCTTAAAATTGTACACTTGTAGTCCATGAGAGTGTAAGTATACATTGATAGGACAGCTTTCTTCTAAAGTCTTAGATTTGATGAGAACCTCAGAAGAAAACTGTCCTATTTTATAGTAAAAGGAGTTTCAGGAGCTCCAAAGCTCCCTTTCGTAAGGATTAGGAGCTTTGGAGCTCCTGGTTCGTAGATGTGTTTCGCATCTTTCATCAGCAAAGGACATTTACCATCTGGGACTCTGTTGATGGAGACTCAGGAGCTCCAAAGCTCCCTTTAGTAAGGATTAGAAGCTTTGAAGCTCCTGGTTCGTAGACGTGTTTCGCATCTTTCATCAGAAGAGGCCCAAATGGTAAATAGCCTCTGCTGATGAGCTTCAGGAGCTCCAAGGCTCCCTCTCGTAACGATTAGGAGCTTTGTAGCTCCTGAAGGTAAGGTAGGATTGCTCTGATCTCTAATCAGTAGATGCCATGCCTCATTATGAACTCTACTGACAAGAGATCAAGAGCTCCAAGGACTCCCTTTTTAGTTAGTGGCGTTCTCACCATTTAGTAGGATTGCTGATCCTACTAATGAAGTGATCACTTAGTATACGTTTTGAATAAATTGAATTTTTTTTAGAATTTAGTATTTTTTATAGACATCACATGTATATTATAAATACATAAATATATTCTTTAATTCAAAAAATTCAATTCGGTTTTGGGATGGGTATCCCAGCCCCAAGTATTCAATTTTATTCAATTTTTTAAGAATTTTGGGTTGGGATGCCCAGACCAAAACAAGCTTTATATTTTGATGTGTAGATACGTATGTGTGCATCATTGTTGTGTTATATATTATGTTTTTAATGAAAAAAAAATCTGATTCAAAAAAAATTATCACTAATTAGTTGATAATATAAAGAAAAAATAGATAAATTGTATGTTTTGAGAGTATTTATCCACATTCACTCATATGAATTTCATTAAATAGTGTCTTTTTACTCCCAAATTTATTTTGAATTATTGAAATCAAAGAAAAAAAAATCAGAAAAATTTCTCGAAATTTTT